TTAATAGACACAGTTTTAGGTAATAGTGGCCCATAACTGCTTAGCAGAAGTATTTCAGTAAGACAGTGATAACATGAGTTAACCAGTTAGCAGGAGACCTACACAATATAAAAAGACAGTGATAACATGTCATCTTTCATCATCATCTTTCAAGAGCAAGCGGTTTGTGAATCCTGCATTGAACTCCGAGATTTGAGAAGCAGTCATAAATAAAATAAAGGGAACACAGCAAAAGTTTAGGATTATACTGCTGTGATATCATGGTAAAGATGAAATTTAACCACTGATTCTTCACATGCTCGTCCTTGGGCAGTGAAAAAAAACTGGCTTTACCTTCACATTGTAGAGCACAGCGTCTTCTCGACGTGATGCTGTCGAGTATCCACAGGAATCAGCTGCAGAGTTTGAGGGGGTTCAAGTTTTCCCTGGTGTCTGCGCGCGCAATAAGTGGGCGGGCAATATGCTAATGTTTCGTCTTGATGTCACCATGAAACGGCTTATGACTCGTTTGAAAAACGATTCATTTCATTGACTCAAGTCAAGAGTCAACTCTTACTTTTGAAAGACAATAACTTTATATACGGTGCACTTTCAGATTTAAAACTTTGCAGGATGTTTTCATTCACTTAGAGCTATGTTACACACTACATGAAAGGTCATTTTTAAAAATCCATCATAGGGGCACTTTAATATTTTTCATCCCTAATATCCAGCGTCAATGATAAATGATAAAGTAAGAAATCTCTTATATCAGCAGATATAACTAGTAATGACAGAAGTTCGTAAAGGAAGCCCAAGCCATTTTACTGCTCCGTAAGACAATAGGAGGGAATGTTGCTTTACAGCTATTTTAATATGGACAGTCCTGCGGGGTCATGACAGGATCTGACAGGCTGCGGTAACTGTTTTTCTCGGTCTGGCTCACTCTGGTGAAGAGCTCTGACGTAGCAAGGCAACCCGGTGTCCACCAGTCTAGCGTGTCCGTCATATAAACTGTTAGGTCTGCGCTGGCAAATCATTCCACACCAAACAAACTCACATATGGTGTGCTTCAAAATGTCTCAGAGTTTCCTGGTTTCTCTTTGTTCTCTTCCCCTCTTGTGAGTAACTTCATTGTTTGAGCCCATGGAACCAAGACCCTAATTAGAAGCAGTTGTGGGTTTTGACCATGGACATCTGCAGAGAAAGCTTGAGAAGAGAGTGGGAAAGAGTAAGACTGGTGTGAGAGAGAGTGAGACTGTGGTTTCCAGACAGCTTGGCGTGTGGAGACACAATCTGAGCTGTGTCAGGTTTCAGCAGACACCCACTCTGTCTCTCTCTCTCTCTCTCTCTCTCTCTCTCTCTCTCTCTCTCTCTCTCTCTCACGCCCCTCCACTTCTCCCCACCTTCAGATCCACCTCTTTAAGTGCGGACAAACTCTCACTGTTGCAGTTTAAAAATGCCATTTGAGCACTTTATGGTTGGGCCATGTATTTACCATCACGTCAGCGAATATCATGACGTAGAACAGCACAGTGCCATTGTCTGAATTCACCTTCATATTCTCTCAGTTTCATATTCTGCCCCAGATTACTTGGTCGATGACTAGAGTAGATTTCACCTCTCCTCATTTTTGCTTTTATTTACCAATATCTTTTCTAAAACAAGACATTAAAATTGTTAATAATTTTGCAGTATCTACATGGAAGACGAAACTCCTGAATTTAGGAAGAGCTTTCCTCTTTCATTTCCTCACTCCTGCTCTCCCACTTTCTTTCCACTACTCCATCTCTTTTTAACTCTTAGTAGACTTTGTAGAATAATGGAGGCTGCGACCTCCGCTTATGCTGTATTTCAGCACTGCCCTTATAAAAAAGTCAGGGGTTTGTTCATAGATGGCTGAAAGATTTACTCGTCGAAGAACAAGAAACAGTCAAACGATCAATAAAAGAAGCTGCTAGGAGACAAAAGCAGTGGGTAGACACATTGTTGGATGAAACTGTAATGAAAATGTCTAAAATGTAATGGTTACATTATGAAATGATTCGAAACACAATGTGAAAGCAGCAGAACTGTTTTAATAACCAAATTAAAAACTGTTAATTGTTAAGAGGCAATTTCACATTCAACGTGCTACTTTTTAATTATTTTTATTACTTTTATTTAAAAATATCATTGCATGAGTTATATATACACTACTGTTCAAAAGTACGATTTTTTTTAAGGAAATTAATACTTTTATTCAGAAAGGATGCATTATGTTGATCAAAAGTGACAGCAATCTTTTGTAACATTATAAATGTCTTTACTCTGTCAAACAATGTTCTTTTGAACTTTCTATTCATCAAAGAATCCTGATAAAATGTTTCACAAAAATTATGGTTAAGCAGCACAACTGTTTTCAACATTGATAATAAGCAATGTCACGTTAGCTCCAAATCTTCATATTAGACTGGTTTCTGAAGGATCATGTGACACTGGAGAAAATAAATAAAATAAATGCAACCTGGTAAACATAAGAGACTTCTTTCAAAAACGTTAAATAATCTTACCGACCCAAAACTTTTGAACGGTAGTGAAGCTTCAATTAGGTTTTTAAGCTTCAATTAGGATTTATTTAAAACTTTTCTGTTGAGCTCTGTTTAATAGCACATGTTTACTTGATGTCTCTGTTTAATAGCACACGTTTACTTGATGTTAGGACACATGGTTTATTTTTCAAAATAGAAATATATAATAGAGTATAACAGTACAATTTTAAAAACGTTTTTTCCATAAAAATATTTTTCACTACTTCACTCACATACGTTTTCTGTGCACAGTGTAGCGATTTGACTGATCAATAAAACAATTTATTGCTGGCTGTTTTCATTATTGATTATTATAGAATGATTACATTTTAAAATTAGTCTATAATTCTTTTATGAATTATTCTCTGAGTGCTGAAGTGACTGTAAGTCATGTAGAAGGAGAGGGACAGAGATTAAAGCTGCAGTAGGGAGTTTTGAGAAAACGTTGACTTAGCCTGAAAATTTGAACAAGCACAACTTACAGGTCCCACCCCCTTGCTCTCTGCTGCGCTACAGCCCTCCCTCCACAGCTCGTCCTCCACAGCGGAGCCTGTCGTGAACGCGCAGGCTAGTAAACAGGGCCACCGATAACAGCGGATAAAAAGTTATATGGCACATTCACTAATAGGGACTAAACGTCAATAATATGCTTTACATTGACTATGGCCTGCCCATACTTTGACTACAAACTTGGTCCTCAAATCATTATGTATTTTGCAATACATGTAACTTTATAACGTTGCACTCTTTCTATAAGTTATAAATAGCTAGTAAGATAACGTTAATATAACGGTAACTAACATTACAGTATGTAAGTAATTATTCTAGCGATATATAATGCTAGATAAGGTGTGCTAGTACATTATTTCAGCAACATGACAAGCCAGTGAATTAGCAGGTTTCAATTGTTGCTTAGCAGAGTGCGTGACATTTTATCTACATGTTATGCGGCTAGAGTTTTGACACCGAGTCAATGGGCTCTGTGTAATTCTTTCTTTTTCGCTTGTTTATCGTCATCGGTCTTTTTCCTTTTACCTCTTTGTTTTATGAGCAGGTGCCACTCGAGAATTGGCAGTTTAGGTTGTTTCTCCGTCATAAGCACACAGCACAGCTGCGGCACACCGGCAATCTTGAGTTTGAATGACGGTACGCGCTCGCGCTGTGCAAGAGAGGGGTGTGATCAGCGCGTACACGAGCGTGATTGACACTGCTAAGACATTCCTCCTGGCTCTGATTGGTTGTTTCTGACCGGGAGCGTGTATTTCTGCAGATGGCAATAGGACCACTGGGAGGAGCCAGAGGAGCTTGATTTTTTCACAGACTATCTGTCTCATATTCTACTGTCAGGACATAATGACAGTTTTAACAAATATGTAAAAAATATTTTTTACAAAAGTTACCTACAGCAGCTTTAAGGAGAGACTTACACACGTGTGTATGTGAGTGGAAGGATTAGAGGAAGTCCCAGTGAGGAATGGAACGTGAGCAGTGTGAGGTGTTATGAGGAATGGAACGTGTGTGTGTGTGTGTGTGTGTGTGTGTGTGTGTGAGTGTGAGTGTGAGAGAGCCCAAGCTTTGGAAACTGCTGAGACGAGTGTTGTGTAAGTATTGTAAAATGTAAAAGAAGTGTGTTTGGCAGTAAGTACATCCCTATGAGGGACCAAAGCAAAGAACAGCAGAGCAGAGTTTACACACAGTTTATATCCAGACAAACTGACAAACTCTGTGAATTATCTCTTGACAGTACTTCACATTCACAGTAAATGATGTCAGTGGATGATTTATTAACAATCTACATGCTTGGGAAAAAATCTGTATATTATTAGTTTGAAAATAACATTATATATATATATATATATATATAAAATAATAATGTTTTACCCACCCTGGTGTCATTTCAAAGCTTTCTTTCTTCTGCAGAACAAAATAAGATATTTTGAAGAATGTTGGTAACCAAACAGTTTTGGTGACCATTGACTTCTATTGTATGAGACATTTCTCAGAATATCTTTCTTTTGTGTTGTACAGAAGAACAAAATTCATACAGGTTTTGAACTACATGAGTAAACGATGACATAATTTTCATTTTTGGGTGAAGTGTACCTTTAAGCCACACTTAATGTTCCAAAGTCATTTGCATTAGAATATAATAAAATATCAAACCAAGTGTTATTTATTACAAAGAAAGATAAGCAAAATATTTCAAAAAGAGGTTTGGTAGGTTTAAAATTTTCGTAATGTTTCTGAAAAATGGTTGTGATCAAAACAAAGGCATGTAACAAATATGAAAATGTGTAATGATATTCATATGCTAATCACTGAAATTGCTCATTGCAATCACTGATCCGATGCAGTTAAATTGATATATTTAAGTGTGGCTTAAGTGTGTGAATACTGTGTGTTTCTGGTTTCTGACCTCTCTCTTTATTTCTCTCTCTTTAATGCTGTCAGGCGGCAGACAGTGACTAGCACCCCCTGCTGGATAGAACTGCACCTGAACGGTCCTCTGCAGTGGCTGGACAAAGTGCTCACTCAGATGGGCTCCCCCTCCATCCGCTGCTCCAGTGTGTCATAGGAAAAACGCTCCATATACAAACCACCAGATCTGGGAAAAAAGTTCCTTCAGGAGTCGATGGCTGAACACCTTCATACCTGCCAACTAATTGGGTTCCACAGACTCGGTAGCACTTTCATGTTGGAGGAGTGTATTACAGTATGTGTATATACTCGTTTTTATGTTATTGGTAGCCATTTTTATTGCCATTATTGACATAAAATATTGCCATTTATGACATATTTAGTTATATACTGTTGCACGTGTATGTAAGATCTCTCCTCTGTTGTGTCCATTATGATTCTGTTATGTTAGGTACATTTTTACCATAACAGAGGCTTGTTTTTTTAAGAGACATGAAAAAAGTGCTTTTTTGTAAAGTGAATATATTAAGTTTTTCAAATATCAGTTAAACTGTATTTTTGATTTTTTTTTGGTTTGATCAAACTGAAACTTTCCCCATGTCATAATGTTATGTAGTACATATCAAGAGGTTTTGACCTTCCTCATGAGAAAGAAACAGGATGTCTTTGACTAAGCGGTGTGTTCAGACATTGAAAACTCAAATTAATATTGTTTTTCAGGTTTCCCCAAAACATTACATTTCCATATCCCGTTTTGTCCTAGCCAGTGAAATGTGCTGGACAGCACTTTAAAAAAAGCTCTTCACCTTTTTAAAATTCCCTAAACAGAATACTATATAACAAACTTCATATGTGTACATAACAGTTTATGTAACACTTGTGAACGTGTTTTCTATGCTTCACAATATCTAAGGTTGTTGAAATGTTAGGGGATTTTGTCATTGTACAGGTTCTGAAAGCCTGATACTACTCCTACAGCAGATTTCCAGTTGTAGTGTTTTTCATCTCTTAACCCGGACTCGTGTGTGTGTGTGTGTGTGTGTGTGTGTGTGTGTGTGGAGGTTACATGAGGGTGTTTTACCTGTTCCAGCCGTCCTCTGTGAGTGTTATGTAGTGTCTGGTCTGGTGTTGAGTTCAACTTTGTCTGCAGCGAACCGGCTGTCTGTTCTGCGCGAATGAATGTGAATTATTATTGAGTTTTATAGGATTCACCACTCACAACTCCATGTGTTGTGCCGCGCTTTCATTTCTTATTCTTTAGTGAGTGGGTAAGGAGCTGTTCAAGGTCTGGTGAGGTCTCCCAGTTGTCCGCTTCGGAAAAGAAATTTCCTTTTTCATGTTGTGGCAGTTTTTGAAAACTGGGCATTTCATAATTTTGAGCACTATATAGTTCATGCTTCATATCTCACAGTGTTAGTTGTGTCTGTATACATCTGTGGATATGCACACTTACCTGTGAGTCCTTGTGTTCTCACATCCTCTAGAAATGAAACTGAGTGAGTGTGCCTTCGCATCAACTTTCACAACAGAGTTTGTAAATAGTATATTGGAGACTTCTTCACAGGCATTCATCCATACTGAGTAAGTGGGTTGTCCAGTGTTGGACCACTCAGGGTTGTGATTTGTTCTCAGCTGAACTTGTAAATATGTCTGATAAATTGATTATGCATGCCTATTTTCTGAAAATCATGGCATTTGTACTGTAGACTCTATTTTGCTACCAAATATTTTTTCAGAAGTGGGACGGGAAAGTAAATGCTCTTTGTAACCGTCGAAAGGGGGGGGGGGGGGGGGGGCTGTACTGCTGGCAGGTTTTTTTAAGGTTGTATTTTTATATACGTCGGATACTCATAGGATATGGAGAAGGGCTTGAAGAAGGCAAAAGTCACAATGGGTTTCGTGAAAGCCAGTTCATTTCAGTACTTTCAATTAGCATCAGGTCAGTGTGATTCGCTTGCAATGAGGAGCTCTTTCCAGGCTTTGTGAAATCTCTGGTCTCCCAATGTGTTATAAAGGAGTCATGGAGGAAAGTTGCATTTAGGTGCATCATGTACTTCACAGATAGGAGAAAAGATGTGTAACATCTGTTTGCTTAAATGTTCATAAGGACTGTTGTGCGATTTAAATGCGCTAAGACTTTACTTTGATAAAGTCAGTGTGTTGTATGACTTGGATTCCTTGAAATGTATTTAAAATCTCTTGATGTCATCCGGCAAGACAAAATAGAAGGTACTTGTATTATTCAGGAAATGATTTGTTGTCCATCTAAGCAACATTAACTGTTTTCTTTGATAGGAAGAAAATCAAATCTCATTTTCTCAACAAATTGTTGAACATATTTTAAGTAATGTGCATTTATTGTGCTTTTGTGATGTTGTGACTTAGTGGTGATTGTTGTGCTTGACATGTTAGATGTTTTTCTCTGTATAATAATCTTTATTATTTCTCTCCATCTTTAAAGCTTGTCAGGAGAAAAAAATAATTGTTTATTATTGTTGTACTTTTAATAAATGTGTAAATGAAAAAAAAAAGTCTCATCTGATTTGTTAGGCCAAAAATGTCTTTACAAACATTCTCCTCTACATTCCAGTCAAGTTCTGCTTATTTTTTGATCATGACAATGCTGTAAAAGGTGCATTGGCATACGGAGACAGATACGGCATGGCCTGTTGTTACCTAATGCACTTTTTTCCTTTCCTTGCTGAAATATGAAAGCTCTCTTTGTTCAAAGGACCCTAAGGGCAGGGAGGCGCTAGAATTCTTCTGAACCGCGATTACATAAATCATTTTAGGCAAATGCTGCTATGCAGCATCTAAAAAAATCACCAGGCCCTAATCAGCTTTTGTTGTTCCCTTATTAAAAGGAGGAGATTCAACTATATTAGATAATTATAGGCCAATCTCAAAGCTTATTGTCCTATCAAAAATTGTAGAAAGTTTTATTAGTGACCAGTTGACCTGTTATTTGAATGTAAACAAAGATTCTATCTAATAATCAATCAGGGTTTCGTAAAAAACATATCACACAACAGCCGTTCTGAAAGTTTTAAATGATATTGTGGAATCAGTGGATAAAGGTGATTATTGCGCTTCCCTTTTTATTGATTTATCAAAGGCTTTCGATCATGATTATGAAATATTGTTGGATCATAGACTGCATAGACTAGAGAGTGTTGGTTTATCAAATCATGTTATTTTCTGGTTTAACAAAATATTTAAGTGAAATAACTCAATGTGTTCAGGCTGAAGGTAAACATTCAGGACTATTGGAGATTGTTAACGGTCTTCCCCAAGGATCTGTGTTGGGACCTCTTTTATTTACTATCTACATAAAAAGTCTACATATCTTGGCATCATTGTTGATGATGCATTATCTTTTGGCTCTCACATAATTAAAGAATTTTTTTTAAATAAAGCTTGGGTTTTATTTTAGAAACAAGTTTTGTTTTTCATTTAATGTAAGAAAGAGGTTACTTTTTTGCCTGTTCTTGATTACGGTGATTTGGTGTATCAATTTGCTCCTTCTCATCTTCTCTCTTCTTTGGATGCTGTTTATCATAGCGCTTTAAGAGTTATATCAGATCGTAAACCTTTAACTCATCATTGCACTTTGTATAACAGAATAGCCTGGCCCTCTCTGTCCATTAGAAGGAAAATGCACTGTTACCTAATTATTTACAAAACTATTCTGGGGTTGTTGCCTTCGTATCTAGGTTGTCTTATTTAACAGAAAAGTGTTGGGAAATATTCCCTCCGGTCTCAAAATTGTTATACTCTTTCTGTTCCATTTGTAAGAACTGAACTGGGGAAAAGGGCTTTTTTGTATGCAGCTCCGTTTGAATGGAATCTACTCCAAATTGGAAAATTGAAATGAAAAACTCTGGTGTCTATGGAACATTTTAAATCTATTATTCGGTCACTTGAAGAAGACTCATCAATTGTTTTTAAGTGTTTTCAGTTTTTATTTGTTATTTTGATCTGTAAGTTTGTGATTGTAACTGCTGCCTATTCTTGGACAGGACACTCCTGTGAAAGAGATTTTTAATTAAATAGAGATTATCCTGGTTAAATAAAGGTAAAAAAAAAAGAAAAAGAAAACGCATAAAAAACACCTATACTTTAGGCCTACTGATGGATGAGACAGACACCAGATAAGGAGTTTAGCTGCTTAAACTCAACCCAGCTCTGCTACTGAAAAATTAACAGGTTTGAGGGTCAAAACCTATAACACTCATGAATGATTCACAGCTTCTCGAATGTGTAGGGCACTGTGTCAAGGTTTGTTTCAGGTTCATGAGGCTGCTGTGTTTGTTCCCTTAGGTTTTTTTTCCCTTCCACATTTCAGGTTAAATGCATACAGTAGTCCGGTGGATTATTTCCTTTGCGCTAGCGCTCTCTGTGGGCAAACGAGAGAAACGCATCACCACATCACAAGTGTATGTTGACTGAAGCAGTCACACGGGGAAAGCTTGTTTGCGCTGTTGAATCACCATCACTCATCGTTTAAATGCCTCTGATTTTTTTCATTTAACCAAAACACTTCACACCTGGTCTATTGCGAAATAAACCCTAGAGTTTCTGGGCTTCATCTATAGGCCTAGTTTTATTGTAGTAAACACACTAGCCACGTCAGAATTCACTAGGTATACTTTCGGAATATTCTTCTTGAAGTAGGCTAAATGCTTTACATTTTTTGCACGCGTGGGTGTAAACCTTTGGTGTAAACTGAGATTCCTGAATATGCGTAGGCTACTGCATTTGAGAACTGAACACTTTACTATCCCATAAGGCCACGGGAGCTGAATTGAGGTCAGACGTCAAGAAAAATGGCGGAAAACTTAACGGACGGTTCAGGACAGAAAATGAAGTTTGTTAATTTGTTACATTTTATTTGTTTAACAACACTCGAATACATATTTTTTTCACTTTATGACATGTCTTATGGGATATAAATTAATCATCTGCTGCTACTTTCTATATAAGGTAAGCCTATAGGCCTGCATACATAGCCTAAATATAGGGGAAATGAGGCATTTGTTTTCATTTTGTTTAGCTACGTAGCTACCTAAAAACAATATTTAGTTTGAAAATTAAGAAAGGTGATGATAAAGCTAAAATCAGGTGGCAAAACAACTCACAACAAATGAAGTAGGCCTAATTAAACATAAACATTAGTGCAAAATAATAATAAAAAACAGTTAAACGTCCAGGGTAAACTAATTGCATATAGCATCTAACTACACATCTAATAGCACTAAAATAAGATGAATAGCCTAAAAAGACTAAAAGGAGGAAGGACCCTATAATCATAAGTAGCCATAATACAGACTGGAAGTCTTTATTATTACTAATAGTGCTTTAGCGTTATGCCTCCTGTGAAAGATGTCCTTACAGATTTTGATAAAAGACTGACAGAGTTGATTAACTGAACACCATCCTCTCTCTCATCAGGCCTGAAAGCATCATGATCGTCGGTGACAGCTACTACCTTTGTTGGTAAACAAATTAATCTTCTTAAAGGTCACAATTTGCTGTAGTGTGTCTGTATCTCTCTCTCCGTCAGATTGTCCCTCCATCAGCATTCCTCTCAGGTGACTCACACACCTGATTGCGGCGCTACGCACTGCTGCGTCACAGCTGTCTCCGGACAGAAGAGAAGACAGGGCCGCTCGTCTCCAACTGCCGCGCACTGGAACTCTGCCCAACGGGCGATGCGTATCTGTGTTACTGGCCAGCAGTTCTCCCTTCAAGCCTTCTGTCGGCGACAAAGATATAGCCTACTCTCTGTTTCTCTTTAAAATCGTGAACACCTGTTCTGCTTAAGGTCTCCAGAGAAATGAGACTCAGCGTAAAGCAAAATGATCAGGATCGTTGGACTATCTGCGCGTGTTAGATGTAGGCATATTTACTGTTAAAGGGGTCATATAATGCCATTTTTGTACAAGCTAGTATGATTCTTTAGGGTCTAAATTAAAAGTTTGTAATATACTTTAATTAGAAATTCTCATTAGTATTGTAAGAAAACACTTATT